CCATGCTTACCTGCCCCACCCAAGTGCTGTGAGGCTTCCTCCGCCTCCCTCGCCCACCCCCTCAGCCTTGGGCTCCAATCCATCCACCTCATGGTCCTCATCCTCCCCCCCCTCCCCACCACCTCCATGGGCATGAGTGTCGGGTTGCCACGCTGGCTCACTGTCATCCCCGCTTCCTTCCTCCTCGTCCTCCTTCCTATCTTCACCCTCCTCCTCCTCGCTACCACTGACCTCAGTGGTACTCATGTGATCCAGAGTACCTGAACGTGTGCTTGGAACCCGACGAGTGCATGGCTAAGAACCCACCCACGTAACACGCACAGGATGTGGCAGGCTGGTCCCCTATACCACCCTGGAGAGGTCTTGTAGGGGTCGAGGTAGCTCCGCCGTTACCACCCAACCCTCCTAAACCCGCTGGTGGTAAGCTAGCCATTCCCCTAATCCCCTTAACCCTGCTACGGTAGGTTTATTAATAGTCCTGCGGGCTGAACCAACCTATGGCCGTGAACTTGGGCGAGAACACTATATGTGTGCTTTTGATTATGATATGGGCGGCGGATTTTGCCTGGGAAGTTGCTGAGCAAACCTTAATGTCGACACCCCTAGTGTGGAGTACAGAAAAACGATTGTGCCAACCTATCTAAGTGTTGTTGAAGGTAGTGCTGCTGGTGCTTATAGACTAGGCTGTGGGGTGTGTGTTAGCTAAAAAACGAGCTTAAAAATCAGCTCAGCTGCTGTCCAATGTCGACCTAAAATTTGTCGCGGGTGACTTTTCCGACAAGCACTTTTGTATTCGTCGGAAAGGCCAGACGAGCACGAACATGTTCGTGCGAACTCGAACATGTCCGTCACGAGCATTTTCGGCAAAAAAAAAAAAAAGACACAACGTTCGCGACTAACCGGACAGGTGTTCGTTGTCAGAGGTCCACTAGTGATCCCCGATTGATCCTAGGGAAGGGTTACATGCTCGTTGTCCAGCAGGGTTATGGGCGCATTGATCCGCTACTTATCAAGCCCTTTTATCCCAGTGGTCTAGTGGTTGGGATCCTGACATGCTATCAGAGCGAAGGTCTCGAGTTCAAATCCCAGTGTGTACACTTCGGGCATCCCAGTGCGGGGGGGTGTCAGAGGTCCACTGGTGATCCCCGATTGATCCTAGGGAAGGGTTACAGGCTCGTTGTCCTGGGGGGTTATGGGCGCATTGACCCACTACTTAACAAGCCCTTTTATCCCAGTGGTCTAGTGGTTGGGATTCTGACATTCGTCAATTTGCTCAGGTCTCCACGGTCTACATGGCGGGCTGCTGCACGGCGGCTGTAGTCGCGCAAAAAGGCATTGAAGGCCGGGCCGAGGCACCAAATTTCTCTAAGGTCAATTGCACGAGCTTGACTGCAGGCCGATCGTGAAGAGCGTGAGCGTATGCGTGACGCTTCTCTGTCTCCCTCTGCTTCGCTGAAAGGTCAACAGCGTGTGTCGCCATTGCATGTGCCCTCTGATGCTGGGGGTCAATGAATGAAATATTTAGAGCCCACAACCGACATCCAGAACGTGGTCCGACATAAATGTAGGGTCCTCGACGCGAACTGTAAACCCAACATCGCGTGATATCCTAGTGACCTCATGCTTTACTGCGTCGGGAACATGAGTAGGCTCTTAGAGATCAGGGCAGCGAAGGGCATGGCAAGGGAGGGTACGGTTGGAGTAGCGATGTCCACAGAAGCATGGTTGTGCGGATTCAAAATGGGCAAGCCTAAGCGTAACTCCGCTGCTATGAACCAATCTGGTGCGTCGAGCTATGAGCGCGGTGTGGAGGGTACAGCAGTGAGCCAAGCGCCGGCTGGTGGGTCCTGAAGGGAGGTCAAACGGACCAACTGGTGGCGCTGGTTTGCCGTTGTGCGTAGCTGTTCCGCTGCTCGTGCTAATATACGCTGGGCTAGAGATGAGAAAAGGCGATTAAGATTGTCAACAAAGAAAGCAGACCATGGTGGGACTTGGTGCCGCAAATCAGTCGGGAGGGAAGCGAGGGTGCGGCGTGCTTGCAAATCTAGGCGTTCCAAGCTGTCGGATCCGATGAACGGGCGCATGAAGTTGTCTCCGTCCACCTTACAGTTCGATGCGGGCACAGGTATGGCCTATGCCCAGCAACAAACGTAACTGAGAGGCGCGTACTATTTTGTGCTCCGCTTGTCGAGACCTCCCATGCGGATTGGGAGGAACGCATGCTGCCGTGCGAGCTGTCCCTCTGTGGTGTCTAGGTCCCAACAGTCCCGGGGAAAAAGGGAGATGAGAGTGTCTAGAAGTTGGTCATCCCAGTCACTGTACAATTCAAGCACGCCATCTGTGGGCGGTACTGTGCGTAGGAGATAGGTCCTAGCTGAAATGCAGAGTGCGAGCAAGTGGGCTCATATTTGCGGGTTTTCTCAGCGGGGAAGCCAGGGTGCTACAGCCCGAAGGGAAGCGAGGCGCTGCTTAAGCTGTTTGGTAACATAGTCTGGCTCCCTATCGGGAAGCGTGCAACCGTAATGCCGTTTTCCCGCATGGTGATGCCGGGAGGAAGTTGGAGCGTATCTGGCCAGCCCTGTAAGGCCCAAGCTTGACACTTAGCTGGCTGAACTATGAGGCCTAAGAAAATCGACTGCAATGTGGTAAATGCTGCAACTAGGCGGTGGGGAGGGCCGAGAACGTAAGTGTCGTCAGCATATGACATGCAAAGAACGTCGGGGTATGTTTGACGAAGAGCTCGAATGGCTAGTTGCTGCATGAGTGCGTACAAGAAGGGCCCGCATGGATCCCCTTGACGAACTCCTCGTTCATACATAAATTGCCGTGGGAGCAGTCTGGAATGGAGAGGTGTGGTTAATGTGTAGCATAGAGTAAGCGAAAGAAAAGGATAAGTGAGGAGAATCAGACGCATGCAGTGCCTCGAAGAGAGCGGAGCGACGAAAAGAGTTTAACACATTATAGCGGGTGAAGTTCTAGCGTGGAGCGAATGCCAAAGATAAGCGCGCTAATTCCAGCCATTGTGCCCACTCCTAGCTCGGGCAAGAAATGCGGCTGCGTCTAAGGTTTGAACATGAGCGTGGCGGAAGGAGAGAGGAGGCGTACGATGCCTTTGCCTATAGCGATCGGGCGGACTTCGTCATTATGTTTCCTAAGAACGATAAGAGTCAAAGCAGTGAGATAAGGACGGAGTCGTGGGGTAGATAAGAGGTTGTTGAGAACGTTTTGTAGGGGCGGTAGATAAGAGGGGTGGGCCAGCAACGTGTCACGAATGTGCTCTGCCATCTACCCCGAGTGACCAAGGGCTGCCCTTCTGGCCATGGTGTGGATGGCTTGTTGTAGAATCTGTAGTGGAAGATGAATACACTCCATTGGGGTGAAGGTGTACACCCAAGGAGGGATGGGCTGAGATGTTGGAGGATACTTAGCCTGCAGCCTGTCTAGCGTGCCTGTGGTTGGTGGCGCTGGCTGGAGTGCTGAATGCGAGTGTTATATGCGGGTGAGTTTTTGCTCCGTGAAGTTGATCGTGTTGAAACAACGCTTGCGAGATGCGTCGCGTGGGTGAATGCGGCTAGAGTCTTCTCGGAAAGCTAGAGCCATTGTCCTTTGGCCATGACACTGGGGTTTAGGGTTCCGCTATGCCATGACGAGGCTCTTTTATAGCTAGAGAGACAGGAATGAGCTGAGCATACTAATGGGGGAGTCTGCCAGCAAAAGCTGGCCCATACAGGTCTCGAACCTGTGACCTTCGCGTTATTAGCACGACGCTCTAACCAGCCGAGCTAATGGGCCATGTGTTGCGACAATGCTAAACATTCTGATTCATAAGGCATTAACGAAGATTGACCGCTTTTCGTGCCTCCATATTTTGAAAATGTCTTTCCACTCGCGTGTCTTCCCGCACGCTCTCACCGCGTCGCGGCTGCAGCGGCGCGCGATCAGTCGAGCTCTGGGAAGCGATTCGGCGGCCACGATGAGCGGAACGCAACGCGGAGGCCGCGCGGACGCGGCGGTATGCGCGCAAGCAGCGGATGAGCGGGGGAACGCGAGGGTGGACGCGAGGGGGGATGAGAATGTGGATGCGCCGTGCGGAGATACCGATCAGCGCGAGCGAAATTCCGGCTCGTCCGCCAGTGTCGCGCATCGAGATCGCGTTTCGGTCTCGCGTTCAGTCTTGATCTCGCGATTCGGAGATCGCGTTTCGGTGATCCCGGCGGTTGACTTGGCGTCGCGTGCTCCCATGCGGCCAACGGATGCGTCCACGACGGCGGCAGCTGGTGGGGCAGCAGATGGCGCGGCGATTCCTGAGGCGCCTCAGAAGGCGGCAGAGGACGCGGCGGGCGTTGACGGTCGCTGTGACTCGCGGGATGACGAGGGCGCGGGTTTGCGAAGGGATGGCGAAGCTACGAAACGGGCGAAGGCTCTGTCTGTTGCCCTGCGAAATGCGGCGACTGTTGAGGTGGGTGGCAGCAGGGGATGGAAGGCTGGTAGCGAGTAACGTGTGGCTGCAATGTGTGGCGATGAGGGGGGCAGGAGGGAGCAGTGATGGGAGCGGCGAGGGGAGTGGCGAGGGGAGCAGTGAGAGGGGAGCAATGGAAAGGGTGCGTGGAGATGGTTCTAGGAACAATGCCTCACTCACTCTTCTCGCCTCGAGTGCGCATGATGCCGAGCTCTCTTCGCCATGTGTTTTCTTCCATGGATCCTCTCCCCGGCCATTCCCCTCCCTCCCCCTCCCTCCCTCTCCCCCCCCACTTTCCCTACCTCCCTCCTCCCGCCTATAACTCCTGCCCCCCTCTCTGCGTTGTCTCCTCTTCCCCCGCTTATCACTGTTTCCTTCCATTGCCCCCATTGCCCTCATTGCCCCCATTGCACGCCCTCTCTTCGATTTTCCTGTATATTGCGTTCATTCCCATTCCGCCCTCTCCTGTCTCCATCCTCTTTCTCCTCTCGCCCTTTCTTCTTTCACCCTTTCCACCCTTCCTTCTCTCACCCGATCTCCTTCACCCTTTCCCCTGCACACCGCCTGCTGCTGCCACATGGCATGTAAGCAGCATCTGGATTTGACTGCCAGTGACGATCTGCGCTGCACCAACCTCATGTGCCCCAAGGTGAGGCGGCGTGGGGCGAGGTGGGGCGAGTTGGGGCGAGGTGGGGCGAGGTGGGGCGAGGTGGGGCGAGTTGGGGCGGATGGGGCGAGTTGGGGCGAGGTGAGGCGGCGTGGGGCGAGGTGGGGCGAGGTGGGGCGAGTTGGGGCGAGGTGGGGCGAGGTGGGGTGAGGTGGGGCGAGTTGGGGCGAGTTGGGGCGAGTTGGGGCGGATGGGGCGAGGTGAGGCGAGGTGGGGCGAGGTGCCATAAGGTGGGGTGGATGGGTCATTTGGAGGGCAGTGACGATCTGCAATGTACCAACCTCATGTGCCCCAAGGTGAGGTGGGGTGAGGCGAGTGGGGGCGAGGTGAGGCGAGGCGAGGCGAGGCGAGGCGAGGCGAGGCGAGGCGAGGCGAGGCGAGGTGAGGTGAGGTGAGGTGAGGTGAGGTGAGGCGAGGTGGGGCGAGGTGTCATAAGGTGGGGTGGATGGGTCACTTGGAGGGCAGTGACGATCTGTGCTGTAGCAACCTCCTGTGCCCCAAGGTGGGGCGGATGAGCGACCAGGTGAGGGGAGAATGTGATCAGGTGAAACGAAGTTTGAAGTGTCGAATGACCGCAAGGTAAAGGCGGCAAGTCCCAAAACCAGAAGGTGAAGCGGATAGGTCGTATGGGCGATAAGGCAAGAAGGAAGGGGTAGCCGTATTCCAAAGAGGTGTATGTGTGCGCTTGGTAATATGTGGTGCATGCTTGTCTCCTCTTGACATCGCATGGTAGCGTTAGTCAGATGGTACCTGGGCAATGGGCTGCGATGTCACCTCATAAGTGGGAGGGAGGTTGGCTTGGCACTTATGTCACCTTGTAAGTGGGAAGGGGGAGGGCGGGGCGGGGGAGTTATGTTGGGAACTTGGGGTGGGCCCCCAACACTTCCGTGCAGGTTCTCCCAACCCACTCGAACCTGGAATGTGGGAGGAGGGTAGGCTTGGTTCTCTACAAGGAAGGGGGAGGGCGGGGTAACCCTGGGGGGAGGGCGCAGCAGGCGCAGGCTGCAACTGCGCCGCTTGGGGGGCGGCGGGGGGGGCTGCGAGAGTTGGGGCGGCAACAGAAGGGGTTACGTACACAGGCTGCTGTTGGTAACCAGCTGCGACCTGCTGATAACCACCTGCGGGCTGCTGGTAACCAGCCGCGGCCTGTTGTTGGTAACCAGCTGCGGCCTGCTGCTGGTAACCAGCTACCTGCTGCTGGTACGCGGCGGCAGCGGGCGCTTGCTGGTAGTACTGCGCTTGCAGCGCAACTTGCCCTTGCGCCTGCGCCTGTGCCTGCGCCTGCGCCTGCACCTGTGCCTGTGCCTGCGCTTGCGCCTGAGCCTGCGCCTGCTGCGCGTACACGTCCGCCACCTGGTACATCTGCTGCTGCTGTGGAACCGCCTGGAACTGCTGCGCCTGCGCCTGCTGCGCGTATGCGGCGTAAGCGGCGGCTTGCGCGTCCCCCCCATAAAACACCATTTGCGGATACCCCTGCTGCTGCTCCGCCTCCGCCACCCCTGGTAGCATCATTAACCCCGGCTGCTGCTGCTGCTGCTGCTGCTGCTGCTGCTGCTGCTGCTGCTGCTTGCCTCTGTTTTCCCCGGCGAGCTTGCAAAACACTTGATGCCCGTGAATGATCTTATTCGGCTCCTGCAGAACATTCTGCGCACCTTCCGCGGTCTTATAAACGAAGATCGCGTACCCGCGGCTCTTACTCGTGCTCTTATCGAATCCGATCGGCCCCTCCTCGATATCTCCGTACTGCGAGAAGAACGACAGCAGCTGCTCGGACGACAGCTCCACGTGGACGTTCCCGACAAAGATCTTCCGCGCCGCCACGTCAGCGCTCGCCGAGCCGCCGCCCGGGCCGAGCGTCGCCAGCTGGCAGACGACCATTCGTCCGTCGACGAGCTTGGAGGGCTCCTCCAAGGCGCGAATGGCGCCGCGCAGCGAGCGGTAGGTGACGAAGCCGAAGCCGCGCGAGCGACCCGTCCCTTTCTCCTTGATAATCTGCGCGCACCCAGGTAGGGCGGGGGAGACGGGGAGACGGGATAAACGCGGGAAACGAAGCGGAACTTGAGATGCATCGTATGCGACAGAGTTTACTCTCAGAAACTCGACACCCTGAAAATCAGATCCTGCTCGAATAAAAACTCGATCCGCCCTCTTGAAGTTTGATCTTGCCTTCTCACGGGCCGATCTCCTGCCATCCTGCCATCAAGGTCTCAACATATGCATGATACGGGCTGAAACCGTGCACTCTCAAAGCCTAGTCTCCTCATCCTCCCCATCCTCCCCACCTGAAGGTCCTCCACGTTGCCGAAGGACTCGAAGATTCGGCGAAGCGTCTCGTTGGTGGTGTTGAAGTCGAGCCCGCGCACGAAGATTCGCCGCTGCTGCGAGTCGCGACCCACGATCTCCATGATCGCGTCGGCGACGGCGCTGTGCGACATCGCCGCGCTCACGAGCGCATCGCGAACGTCGCCGTCCTTCATGACGTCGACCAGCATGCGCGCCTGATGCGCCGTGAGCGCCGTGGGCGGGTCCTCGAACCTGGTGTGGTGACGAGCCGAGCCTGACGCGCCGTTGCCATCCTTTCCTTCCGCTTTGCGCTTCTTCGAATCCTCGATCGCCATTGCCGATAAACCCGCTTCTGAATGACGCGGGGAGCCTAAAACTAACCGGCTATCGACTATCTAGCGATTTCGATACCAAACTGGCTAAAGGCGATCTACAGGTATACTGGGCATTGATAGCAGGAAGATGAGATTTTGCGAAACCCTCTCCAGATCTGGATGGTTTCTTGATGAAAGTGCGTTCTGGGACATCGAGGGCGCGGTACAAGAGCTGCTTCAACACTGTTCTAACCACGCAAACTCCAGACTACTCTGTTATTGCAGCACCATGCGGCAGCGTACAGCACCGTGCAAAACCAGTGTAAGTTCTATTTGCATATGAGCAATTGCACAACAGACGATCTTGGAGTTCGTCGTCGAACGGGAGGAACTCGAGGATGCATGCCTCGGATCGTGATTGAGCCGTTTCTGGATCAATTTAACGGGTTTGTGGTTTGCGTTGCGGTTCAAAGCGGTAACTTGAAAAACACACTGGAGTTTGGAATTTGACTGCCTTAGTGTTGCGCGCCCAATTTCCAACGGTCACATTTCTTCCCCTCCCCCTCCCCCCACAGCTCCAACGATCATTCTTCTTGTCCCTTGGCTCGCTCACCAGCACTTGATTGTGAAGCATTTTTTACTGAGGAACAAGCGTTGGATGTGAATCTGTCAGTCATTCGCTGTTACTGCCACGGCTACTAAATACGTCTGCTGGTGCTTCCGTTGGAGCGTTTCAGTAGCTAACCAGTCGACTCGAACCTGACAAATCTCTCGAAAACGTTTGAGAACCTAACGAACACTCGTACCACTCCATCTTCAATATTGATAAGGTTCGTGCTGTGCCATGTGTACAAGCCGAAGACGAACAGGTGTTGTTACTTCTAAGAGTATTGTGCAGCGATTGTTTGAATCTTTGATTGTGCAGCAAAGTGAAAGACGATCACCAGCATTTTCGCCGATCCTAATCACCGGCAATGTGCATCTGATCATAAAGCGACCAAATGTCTCTCATGATCATCTGCAATGTCAGTCGTTATCAGCACCGATGTCAATCCTGAACACCGGCAATCTAGAATGGCTACTTTTCACCGCCGATTATCATGATCATGCAGCGATGTGACCAAGATGCTTAGCGATGATGTTTATCATAAATATCAGCTGACGTCTATTAAGACCATCAGCAATACCAACCTGGATAACTAACCAGTGTCTTGGATCATCTTGCTCATGCAGCAGTGCCTCGAGAGTCAGCATGCAAACGTCATTTATGTGCTCTCACATTTCGCATATGGAGTTAGAAATTCGCTATTGCTTATTTGTCGCTCGCTCCGTGACATGAACCCTTGCAGCAGGACAAAGTCACTGATCTCATCCAGAACCCCGCCGACCGAGAAATATCCGGAATCTGTTCAAGTGTCTTTGCATTTCAAGGAAATCGTTAATCTGGTGCGTGTTTTTCTTCATTCACCTACGCTCGTGATTCTCCATCCAGACAAGTGGTGTCGAAGTACAGATGTCTAACGTCGTATGCAAAAGCTGTGTCACTGGTTGATTCAGGAGTTTGATACGATCGAGACAGTGTCAAGATCAGAGATTGCTATACTGCGTACGATCTACCACAACGACATGACCAAGCTTGATGTCGATAATGATGACAGCTTCATTGAGGAGATCATTATACTGTTGAAGAACAAGGGGATCGACCTCAGCATTGAATCTTTCCACGTCCTTCAGGTGCGGTGTTTCTGTAGTTGATTCGTGTATTATTGGCCGATAACAATTATTTTCAAGTATTTAAGTAGCAAGTTACAACTGGCTCCTAACAAGTGTTGAGGGCAGGGCGAGTTGGAGCGGGTTGCGATGATGACACCAAAGGCGCAGCGGCCTCATGAGGAGGGGTTGTTGGAGTACCTTGAGAAGGTGATTGGAACGAACAAGTACATCGAGCAGATCAACGAGAAAGCCCAACGGTAATAATTTCTCATATATGCACATATGGTGCGAGATTCTCATTTACTCTTCCGTCATTTGAACATGGTGGATGTGTTTCTACAGTAAGTAACAGTAGTCCGCCGAAATGAACCAACACCAATTCTATCACCAGCCGGTTCCCCCTTGGGCTGAATGCCTATGCTCTGTCTCTCAGAGCACTTGACTCAGACTCGTATTGCTGAGTGCTGTCGTCCAAGCGACGGATTCAAACAAGCTGGCAGAACACAAGGCTGTGTCCTTCATTGTGCTATGCCTGTCCACTCCTCTGACATCCATCTCTTCTGTTCGCCTGCTTCTTTGCTTTCCTCCCCGTTTACTTGCCTCCTCGTCTGCTTACCTCCTTGTCTACTTGCCTCCTCGTCTGCTTGCCTCCCCGTCTACTTGCCTCCTCGTCTGCTTGCCTCCTTCTCCGCCTGCCTGTCTGCTTGTGTGGTTGTGTACAGGCTGGAGGATCTGAATGAGAGAAGGGTGGTCTCTATCGAACGAATGCGATTAGCTGAGAGAGAAAAGGACCAACTGGAGGTGAGTGCACAAATAGAGGAAGCACTACAGGGGAAGCATAGAGAAAGCAGCACTATGCAAAAAGCATAGAAAGTTCAATGTAGTGTAGGGGAAAGAAACACAGAACAACCACTTTAAAAGTAGCACTGAGAGGCACTATAGAAGAAGCACAGAGCAAGACTATGGGGATGTAACAGGCGTCTCAACACCCTCCTGTCACCGATCCCTTCAACCTGAATTCGAACACGTTCCAAAAGCATATCTTTCCTGTCCAAGGCTCAGACGCTTGGCTTGAGTACCATCTGCTCCTGAACGAAAAGAGAGCCGTTGAGGCTTCCGTGCTAATCATAGCTATAAATTATTAAGAACAGCGAAGTGCTTGTAGGAATGTACCAGACTCTTATGGTCTTTTTAAGAACGCTTCCAAAGCCATCTCTTCCATTTCAACATGCTCTTCTTGTTGCTCGTGTCAGCCACACCCCTCAGCCCCACTTCGCATGAAGGCTCCAATCCATCTCCCTCATTCCTACAGACAGTGAAGAGGGCAGCTGCAAGTATTCCTGTTGAAGGAGGCACAATGACGCAGCCTATCACAACAGGGACATGTAATCAACTCTGGCACTTCACTTCAGATTCCTCATGTCACCCACTCCCATAATCCCACCTCGACAAACCCCATCCCTTGCATGCCCTCGGCTTCAGGAGCAAAAGAGAGCGGCTGAAGTTCTTCTCCTGAAGGAGGCGCAGCACACGCAGTTGAACATGGCAGGGCTGTATTTGCGGCTGCAGGAAAGTGAGCGCACGTGGGAAGCAGGCAGCAAGCACGCTGCATGCCTTGAGAGGGTGTTTGAGGCACATGGGTGAGACTGGGAGCTGGTGTAGGGCTGTGATATACCTAATGCTGCAGGAGATGGACCGGTTGAACAGGGAGGTTAGCATAAAAAAGGCGAGGTAGGAGCTTGAGTTGTGGAAGACTGGGAAGGAGAGGTTGAAGGCAAGTCGAGAGGAACAGGCCGGGGTTGGTGGGTTGCTGTTGGGAAGGCATGGAACGGGAGGAGGGGGTGAGGGTTGGGTAAATGGCGAAATGAGATGAGTGAGGAGGTTGGTGGTGGGTGGAGGTGTTTTAGTGACGAGAGAGTGCAGGGCTGAGGGAGGGAGGTTTTGAGAAACGCATATTGGTATGCTTTTGACATCGTGCAAACGCTGGCGACTCATCAGGCTGGGATACTGGGGAGAGGAGGGGAAGGGGGGAGGGGGAGCTGCGTGTCCTTGGCTAATGGGGGATGGCAGGCAGGTGACTATGATATAGAGCAGAGCAGTTAAATTGTCATAGCTTCGGTTCTTGTCCTGTGTTCATCCAATGCTATTTAAACTTACAGGTCATGAAAGGGGCCGTATCAGACCATGAGAAGTTAAGGAGGATCTATGTTCGATGTTGAGAGTCCGAGCCCGCTGACAGTAGCACCGTTGGATGCAGGAAAACGGGATCTGTGCTTTTGGAAGAGATGAAGTGCAAAAGAGTTGCGTATGTGAAAAGCGTAGAGGAACTTCGTGTGAGTTTGGTCTGAAGGGCAGGGAGGAGGAAAAGAGCTAGGGAAAAGCCTTGAGTCGGACTTCCCCTCGCTTTGGTTTGTCAGGCTTGGCCTTTGTACCCCTTGTGTCCTTTTCTAATGTGCAAGCTTTCCTGACAGATTCTTGCTGCAGAGCTGAAGGCTGCCAGTGCGAAGTACAACGCACTGGCAACGTACAAGGTGGGTGTCTGAACAATGGGAATGAGAGGTACGTGTGGGATGGAAAGGTCCAGATGTGAATGCATCGTGCGGGAAAGAGCAGATGCGTGAGGACGGGATTTCAGGTGTGAGGATGGGTTGGTAATACATTTTTTTTTCTGGTACTGACTTGTTTGTTGTAGTATATTCACACACCATCCGGTCACACACCACCTACACACACAGCACTGCTACCTTTCTTGTCTCCATTGCGTCTGCAGGAGAACAAGAAGCCCAGGAAAAACAAGAGCCTGAGCAACCAGATCCCAGGCACGAGCAGCAGAGGTGCTAGCAGCAGTGGTATGGATGGGAAGCGAAGCAGCAAGGGTGAAAAGAAACTGTCTCTGCAGATGCATATGGCTGATGAGAACCGTAGACGACTGATAAAGGTGTGTGGGTTTGTAAATGGCTGTAAGGTAGCGTACAGCATTGAACGGCAGGAGCCGTTGACCAGAGAGTGTAGAGAGAGGCATTCTGAGGTGAGGGTGATTTTGCAAGGTTACCATGCACGCACACACCTTGTTCATTTCGCTTCTCCCTATCACTTTCTCCATCCCTCGGAACTGCCTCCCTGCCTGCTTTTTATATCTTCTCATCTTTCTCCTGGGTTACGCATCTACTGGCAGCTAGCCAAACGCAAGGAGGGGGGGTGCGATGACATGAGCAGGGAATTGAATACAATGCATAGCCAGTGCAAGAAAGAAGTCATGGAAGAGGTGAGAATGGGGTAAGGGGGGTAAACATAGGTGGGAGAGAGAAGGTCCAATTGAGGTCCATGAAGAGGCATCTTGGTAAGGGCTCAGCACTGTGCAGAGAGTGAAGCGGATCTTAGTTTTGCACTAGCTCGTCTTTCTTGCTTGCCATTACACTGACACGGGCAGTATCCTCACCTCTCCTCACATGCATCACTCCGCGTTCTCCTTTCTTCACCCACACGCCTTCCCCTTCTTTCCGTGGACTCCATACGGTCAGAGAAAGGCACTTTCGCAGCTGGAGGAGTTCACTCACCTTCAGCAAGTGGGCGTGGGACTCTCAAGCAAGGGAAGGAACACGCTCAAGCATTTGGCAGAAAAGCTGGCATGTCAGATCTCACAGTGAGTCCGTAATGCCTTCTGATCTTTATTCTTGAGTGTCGAACAGAGCTACTCCCTTTGAACCTCTCTGAACGTTGACATGTGTCAGCAGTGTATCGGACAGGCGAGTGTTTGTGGATGTGGACAAAGCATACCTCCCTCCCTCGACCTTTGCATATTTTTTTAGGCGTATATCTCCTTCCTTTAATTCCCTCCCCCCTTTCTTTTCAGCATGCTTGCTCTGCGAATGTCTGACGAGGACATACAAGAGGCAGGCCTTCCCCGCACTTTCACCACCAAAACTCTGCGCGAGTGGTTAGCGGCAGCAAGTGGGGAGTCAATTTCCACTGAAGAAGGAAATGAGGCTGAGGCTGCAGAAGAAGGGACTGAGGCTGCAGAGGGGAGTCGTCTCACAGCGCTACGCCAAGTGGTCGAGGCTGCAGCAGAAGAAGCATCCCGAGGGGAGATGCAAAGCCTTGGGAGGCTGGTTACCTGGCTATGCGGAAACTGCTTGAGCACAGGAGCTACTTTTGAGGAGGTGCAGTCAAAGCAGGAATCCTCGGAAGAAGAGCTCAAGGCGCTGCGGGGAAACGTCGACATGAGCTGCATTGACGAGTGAGTGAGAGTGCCTTGTCGTCTGAGCTTGCGAATGGGTTAAGTGTGGGTGTACAGAGGTGATTCTGCACAACCATGTGTGCGCAGGAAGGGAGGGAGAGAGGGTGTTTTGGTAGTTGTTGTAGGACAATGTGTGCATGTTGATGCGTCCTCTGATTACGTGTGCTGAGCGTGATGCGGCTGCTGTTACAGCAATTTCTGTCATCAGCTGCCAAGGGATTCATGCACAAGGTACTTTGTTTAAACTATAAGCCTATTTTTCTGTTCCGAACTTGCTCAGGTACCACAAACAAGATGACGCCTTTTTCGAGGCGTTCTTTGAAGCAACAGATGTGACACCAGAGAGGGATGCTGTGAGGCAGGAGCACAAGGCCCTGCTAAGGCGTCGGCAGGAAGAGTTCACAGCAGGCCTCGATGAAATCAGGACGCGTGTGAAGGAGGTCTACCAGATCATGGCGCCAGGTGGCGATGCTGACCTGGCACCCGTTGACCCACTTTTCCCGTTCAGCCAAGGGATTCGCTTCTCTGTGCGTCTGCCACAGCAGCAGTGCTGGACGGGCGTTACTGACCTCGATTCACGAAAACAGGTGAGAGAAGACTCTCTGTCCCATTCCTCTGCAAGACCATTGATTCCAACAGTGGGATGTGAATGTCACTGCTTCTCCTGCGCGCCTCTGCGCACCTGTGCTGCGGTGGACATTTTGAGAGGGCAGTCCATTCTAAACCACTGCAAACCAGTGCTTCAGCCTTTACTCTCACCAACTCAAACCCTGCAATTTCCGCACTGCTGTGGCACAGCTGTTTGCCCTCTATTGCAACACGCCCATTTCGTCAATTTTCAAGGCGTCACTTTTTCCTCCCTGACCTCACATTTCTCGCACCGCATCACATCACATTGCATCGCATTGCATCACACCACACCACACCACACCACACCACACCACACCACACCACACCACACCACACCACACCACACCATATCACATCACACCACACCACACCACTTCATATTGCATCACATCACATCACACCACACCATATCACCTCATATCACTCCATCACAGATGCTTTGCTCCCTGGCGTTGGTGGTGGCAGTCCACATGTGCAAGCCAGACTCGCCCCTTATTACCTTTGAACTTGATGCTACTATAGGTACGTCCTGAAACCCTATACTACCAGTACGAGGTTCTGGTAGTTGATGAGAGGTGCTGCGGGGTCTTGTCACCAGTGCCTGTTACTGCATGCATCGTTGGTGTTGCAGATGGAAGGGTACATTTTAGATTCCGCATCTCACCCACACTCTCTTTTTCCAACCCTCTAGATTCTGCGTCTCACCCTCTCTAACATTAACCCTAACCCTGTTTGCTGCAGCCTTCAAGAACACGTCCATTCTGGCTGAATAGGTACATGGAGGAGCATGCTACTAAGTGCAGGAACACTCATGTGTGACCTAGCCCGAACCCCAACCCTGTTTCCTGTAACCTTCAACACGTCCATTCTAGCTGAAATCATGGAGAGGCATGCTACAGCGCAGGAGCACATGAGCACACCCACTGCAGGAACAGCCCGAGGAGGAGAGTTTCGGTGCATCGTCGGGGGCTGGAAGTAGCAGTGGCTCTCAATTGCTCACAGCACTGCAAGTCATGACTGTCATACTGGAAGAGTACATGAAGCAGCAGCATAGCAAGATCACTAAGAGCACTTTAGAGTTTGTCCTTGTTGGAACTTGGAATGCTTGTGGTGACAATAAACTGACCAAGTATTGTACTGGGATGAGGCAGCAAGCAAGCCATGGAATATACGGTACCTCTCAAAAACACCTAGCGGAATGGGGTTCACTACGGTAGGTAGGATGGGACATACATATGGGCAAACCCTAAATGGGTTGCACCCTCTAGAGGCTATCTCACTGTAGCCTCACAAGATAATATGTAACTTTGACAGTGCCATACAACATTAGCTGTAATAATGCAAGATGTCGACAGAGCCTGGCACGAAAAACGGGTGAGCGCCCCATACATGTGTTCATCAATCTACATTTTAGTGCTGCAGAGGGTGGTCATGTGGTGCTGTGGATGGAGCACAGGGGTTGCCAGAGAGGACGAGGGACCTGCCAGGGGATAGGGAAGTGCGTGGGATGGGGGGAGTGATTATGGGGGCAGATAGACACAGAAACGGGTCGGTTTGAAATCCGGCCAGTACAGAAATTTGAAGTGTTTTTATGATAGGGATACACATGTACACACATATAGCAGGTGCAGTTGCTTGTAGGAGGGATGCTTACAGAGACGATGCCGTGAGGTGGAGGTGAGGAGAGGCGGTTGTGAGTCAGTGCTGATATGCAATGAGCGTCACTCTTGCGGGTTCTGCAATATATGTGTAGGATCATGCACTTGATCATGCTCTATACTACCATCATCGCCCAGATACCGTATTTTCCCGTATATAAGAAAACACCTGTGATAAAGATACCCATGTCTAAACTCACCATTATCTTCTAACCGGGCGATGAAGGTATGGATTTAGTCACTCACTTGAGGTGTGGAAGGGCGGACGTGAGGTGGAGGGGCGGAGAGGAGAGGCGGTTGTGGGAGAGGTCGAGATGGCGGAGGGCAGTGAGGGAGGAGAGCGAGTCGGGGAGAGCCTCTAGGCTGTCAGGGGAAAGGGGGGGGAAAAGGGGGTGGGGGAGGAATGGGAGAGAGGAGGAGAGAGTGGATTACAGATACCAAAGGAGAGGGAAGAGAGCGAGTCAAGGAGACCCCTAGGCGTTGCAAGAGGAGCGAAGGGGGAAGGGGGTCAAATGATAACACATAAATGGAATCTAGATCACACAAACCACCTGCTGCTGTGGCAGATTCTTGCATGCAAGTACGGCATAGTAACCACGAATTCCCCTCTTTCACACTCTCTGCCATGAGACACCCTGTTGCACTGACTGACTGCCATGCAGTGCATGCATTGCAGCTGCCTCGACGCCTCACCTGCGTGCGCCAGGGTGTGTGAGGTGGGGCAGGGCAAAAGAGGCGTCAACTCACCCATCTGCTGCCCTCTCACCCATCTGCTGCCACCTCACCCCCCTGCTGCCATCTCATCCCCCTCCTCCTGCTGCTGCTGGCGAGTCACTAGGTCCAGCCGATTCTCACCCGTTATGAGCGAGAGTGAGGGAGGTGAGGTGCGGTAGGCGTGAGAGGGCAACCCCCAGGCGACATATGCATGGTTCGGTGACCTGGGGGGGGAAGACAAGGGGAGAGGAAAGGAGAGGAGGGGAGAGGAAGGGGCTGGGAGAGAGATGGAGAACACAGGGAGGGGAGAGAGCAGAGCAGGGCACATCCAGGCGACAGATGCAGGGCTTTGTGACCTGAGAGGGAATGGGAGGCGAGAGGAAAGGCGGGAAATGCGGGAGAGACAGAGAATACTGACATGGGATGGGAGCACACAAGGAAGAACTCTGACACGGATCAAGTCTACAGGCGCCAAGGGAAACCTACACCATCCTCTCCACCCCAAGTGCACCAACATTTCCTCCCGGGCTTTTGAGTCGACTCAGAAGCTTCCTTACCCTGGCACAACGACTCCTTGCATCAATATCCTCCAGCGCCAGTCCCTGACCAGAATGCCGGACTTCAGTTGTACAGTGCCCCCTCACCTCTGTTGTCTGTGAAACGACTGCTCCTTTCACCGGTCCTTCACCGACCGTTCGCCCTGGCATGACAGGGCCACACACAGGCCTCGCGCAGCACCTTAGCCTATGTCCTCCCCTGTCTAGCCTAGCCTAGCCGCGGGAAAGAGAATTTACCACTACAGGCATAGGGCAGGCAGAGCATGTGAGCTTCTTCCCACTCAACATTGAGACATATGGTTCACCTTGCACAAAGGCCCCCCAACTCCTAAAGCTCCTAGCGGACACGGCGGCCAAGCGTCTGTTTAACAGGCACTGCAACCTGGGCATGCGCACTTTCCTCCAGACGGAGGCGCAACACCAGATTACACCAGTTCCGCCAGCGCTGGTCAGTAAGTGGCGCTTCAGAGGGTCAGTAAGTGGCGCTTCAGAGGGTCAGTAAGTGGCGCTTCAGAGGGTCAGTAAGTGGCGCTTCAGAGGGTCAGTAAGTGGCGCTTCAGAGGGTCAGTAAGTGGCGCTTCAGAGGGTCAGTCAGTGGCGCTTCAGAGGGTCAGTAAGTGGCGCTTCAGAGGGTCAGTAAGTGGCGCTTCAGAGGGTCAGTCAGTGGCGCTTCAGAGGGTCAGTAAGTGGCGCTTCAGAGGGTCAGTAAGTGGCGCTTCAGAGGGTCAGTAAGTGGCGCTTCAGAGGGTCAGTAAGTGGCGCTTCAGAGGGTCAGTAAGTGGCGCTTCAGAGGGTCAGTAAGTGGCGCTTCAGAGGGTCAGTAAGTGGCGCTTCAGAGGGTCAGTAAGTGGCGCTTCAGAGGGTCAGTCAGTGGCGCTTCAGAGGGTCAGTAAGTGGCGCTTCAGAGGGTCAGTAAGTGGCGCTTCAGAGGGTCAGTAAGTGGCGCTTCAGAGGGTCAGTAAGTGGCGCTTCAGAGGGTCAGTAAGTGGCGCTTCAGAGGGTCAGTCAGTGGCGCTTCAGAGGGTCAGTAAGTGGCGCTTCAGAGGGTCAGTAAGTGGCGCTTCAGAGGGTCAGTAAGTGGCGCTTCAGAGGGTCAGTAAGTGGCGCTTCAGAGGGTCAGTAAGTGGCGCTTCAGAGGGTCAGTCAGTGGCGCTTCAGAGGGTCAGTAAGTGGCGCTTCAGAGGGTCAGTAAGTGGCGCTTCAGAGGGTCAGTAAGTGGCGCTTCAGAGGGTCAGTAAGTGGCGCTTCAGAGGGTCAGTAAGTGGCGCTTCAGAGGGTCAGTAAGTGGCGCTTCAGAGGGTCAGTAAGTGGCGCTTCAGAGGGTCAGTAAGTGGCGCTTCAGAGGGTCAGTCAGTGGCGCTTCAGAGGGTCAGTAAGTGGCGCTTCAGAGGGTCAGTAAGTGGCGCTTCAGAGGGTCAGTAAGTGGCGCTTCAGAGGGTCAGTAAGTGGCGCTTCAGAGGGTCAGTAAGTGGCGCTTCAGAGGGTCAGTCAGTGGCGCTTCAGAGGGTCAGTAAGTGGCGCTTCAGAGGGTCAGTAAGTGGCGCTTCAGAGGGTCAGTAAGTGGCGCTTCAGAGGGTCAGTAAGTGGCGCTTCAGAGGGTCAGTAAGTGGCGCTTCAGAGGGTCAGTCAGTGGCGCTTCAGAGGGTCAGTAAGTGGCGCTTCAGAGGGTCAGTAAGTGGCGCTTCAGAGGGTCAGTAAGTGGCGCTTCAGAGGGTCAGTAAGTGGCGCTTCAGAGGGTCAGTAAGTGGCGCTTCAGAGGGTCAGTAAGTGGCGCTTCAGAGGGTCAGTCAGTGGCGCTTCAGAGGGTCAGTAAGTGGCGCTTCAGAGGGTCAGTAAGTGGCGCTTCAGAGGGTCAGTAAGTGGCGCTTCAGAGGGTCAGTAAGTGGCGCTTCAGAGGGTCAGTAAGTGGCGCTTCAGAGGGTCAGTCAGTGGCGCTTCAGAGGGTCAGTAAGTGGCGCTTCAGAGGGTCAGTCAGTGGCGCTTCAGAGGGTCAGTAAGTGGCGCTTCAGAGGGTCAGTCAGTGGCGCTTCAGAGGGTCAGTAAGTGGCGCTTCAGAGGGTCAGTAAGTGGCGCTTCAGAGGGTCAGTAAGTGGCGCTTCAGAGGGTCAGTAAGTGGCGCTTCAGAGGGTCAGTCAGTGGCGCTTCAGAGGGTCAGTAAGTGGCGCTTCAGAGGGTCAGTAAGTGGCGCTTCAGAGGGTCAGTCAGTGGCGCTTCAGAGGGTCAGTAAGTGGCGCTTCAGAGGGTCAGTAAGTGGCGCTTCAGAGGGTCAGTAAGTGGCGCTTCAGAGGGTCAGTAAGTGGCGCTTCAGAGGGTCAGTAAGTGGCGCTTCAGAGGGTCAGTAAGTGGCGCTTCAGAGGGTCAGTAAGTGGCGCTTCAGAGGGTCAGTAAGTGGCGCTTCAGAGGGTCAGTCAGTGGCGCTTCAGAGGGTCAGTAAGTGGCGCTTCAGAGGGTCAGTAAGTGGCGCTTCAGAGGGTCAGTAAGTGGCGCTTCAGAGGGTCAGTAAGTGGCGCTTCAGAGGGTCAGTAAGTGGCGCTTCAGAGGGTCAGTCAGTGGCGCTTCAGAGGGTCAGTAAGTGGCGCTTCAGAGGGTCAGTAAGTGGCGCTTCAGAGGGTCAGTAAGTGGCGCTTCAGAGGGTCAGTAAGTGGCGCTTCAGAGGGTCAGTAAGTGGCGCTTCAGAGGGTCAGTAAGTGGCGCTTCAGAGGGTCAGTCAGTGGCGCTTCAGAGGGTCAGTAAGTGGCGCTTCAGAGGGTCAGTAAGTGGCGCTTCAGAGGGTCAGTAAGTGGCGCTTCAGAGGGTCAGTAAGTGGCGCTTCAGAGGGTCAGTAAGTGGCGCTTCAGAGGGTCAGTAAGTGGCGCTTCAGAGGGTCAGTAAGTGGCGCTTCAGAGGGTCAGTAAGTGGCGCTTCAGAGGGTCAGTCAGTGGCGCTTCAGAGGGTCAGTAAGTGGCGCTTCAGAGGGTCAGTAAGTGGCGCTTCAGAGGGTCAGTAAGTGGCGCTTCAGAGGGTCAGTAAGTGGCGCTTCAGAGGGTCAGTAAGTGGCGCTTCAGAGGGTCAGTCAGTGGCGCTTCAGAGGGTCAGTAAGTGGCGCTTCAGAGGGTCAGTAAGTGGCGCTTCAGAGGGTCAGTAAGTGGCGCTTCAGAGGGTCAGTAAGTGGCGCTTCAGAGGGTCAGTAAGTGGCGCTTCAGAGGGTCAGTCAGTGGCGCTTCAGAGGGTCAGTAAGTGGCGCTTCAGAGGGTCAGTAAGTGGCGCTTCAGAGGGTCAGTAAGTGGCGCTTCAGAGGGTCAGTAAGTGGCGCTTCAGAGGGTCAGTAAGTGGCGCTTCAGAGGGTCAGTAAGTGGCGCTTCAGAGGGTCAGTCAGTGGCGCTTCAGAGGGTCAGTAAGTGGCGCTTCAGAGGGTCAGTAAGTGGCGCTTCAGAGGGTCAGTAAGTGGCGCTTCAGAGGGTCAGTAAGTGGCGCTTCAGAGGGTCAGTAAGTGGCGCTTCAGAGGGTCAGTCAGTGGCGCTTCAGAGGGTCAGTAAGTGGCGCTTCAGAGGGTCAGTCAGTGGCGCTTCAGAGGGTCAGTAAGTGGCGCTTCAGAGGGTCAGTCAGTGGCGCTTCAGAGGGTCAGTAAGTGGCGCTTCAGAGGGTCAGTCAGTGGCGCTTCAGAGGGTCAGTAAGTGGCGCTTCAGAGGGTCAGTCAGTGGCGCTTCAGAGGGTCAGTAAGTGGCGCTTCAGAGGGTCAGTCAGTGGCGCTTCAGAGGGTCAGTAAGTGGCGCTTCAGAGGGTCAGTCAGTGGCGCTTCAGAGGGTCAGTAAGTGGCGCTTCAGAGGGTCAGTCAGTGGCGCTTCAGAGGGTCAGTCAGTGGCGCTTCAGAGGGTCAGTAAGTGGCGCTTCAGAGGGTCAGTCAGTGGCGCTTCAGAGGGTCAGTAAGTGGCGCTTCAGAGGGTCAGTCAGTGGCGCTTCAGAGGGTCAGTAAGTGGCGCTTCAGAGGGTCAGTCAGTGGCGCTTCAGAGGGTCAGTCAGTGGCGCTTCAGAGGGTCAGTCAGTGGCGCTTCAGAGGGTCAGTAAGTGGCGCTTCAGAGGGTCAGTCAGTGGCGCTTCAGAGGGTCAGTCAGTGGCGCTTCAGAGGGTCAGTAAGTGGCGCTTCAGAGGGTCAGTCAGTGGCGCTTCAGAGGGTCAGTAAGTGGCGCTTCAGAGGGTCAGTCAGTGGCGCTTCAGAGGGTCAGTAAGTGGCGCTTCAGAGGGTCAGTCAGTGGCGCTTCAGAGGGTCAGTAAGTGGCGCTTCAGAGGGTCAGTCAGTGGCGCTTCAGAGGGTCAGTCAGTGGCGCTTCAGAGGGTCAGTAAGTGGCGCTTCAGAGGGTCAGTCAGTGGCGCTTCAGAGGGTCAGTAAGTGGCGCTTCAGAGGGTCAGTAAGTGGCGCTTCAGAGGGTCAGTCAGTGGCGCTTCAGAGGGTCAGTAAGTGGCGCTTCAGAGGGTCAGTAAGTGGCGCTTCAGAGGGTCAGTAAGTGGCGCTTCAGAGGGTCAGTAAGTGGCGCTTCAGAGGGTCAGTAAGTGGCGCTTCAGAGGGTCAGTCAGTGGCGCTTCAGAGGGTCAGTAAGTGGCGCTTCAGAGGGTCAGTCAGTGGCGCTTCAGAGGGTCAGTAAGTGGCGCTTCAGAGGGTCAGTCAGTGGCGCTTCAGAGGGTCAGTAAGTGGCGCTTCAGAGGGTCAGTAAGTGGCGCTTCAGAGGGTCAGTAAGTGGCGCTTCAGAGGGTCAGTAAGTGGCGCTTCAGAGGGTCAGTAAGTGGCGCTTCAGAGGGTCAGTAAGTGGCGCTTCAGAGGGTCAGTAAGTGGCGCTTCAGAGGGTCAGTAAGTGGCGCTTCAGAGGGTCAGTAAGTGGCGCTTCAGAGGGTCAGTCAGTGGCGCTTCAGAGGGTCAGTAAGTGGCGCTTCAGAGGGTCAGTAAGTGGCGCTTCAGAGGGTCAGTAAGTGGCGCTTCAGAGGGTCAGTAAGTGGCGCTTCAGAGGGTCAGTAAGTGGCGCTTCAGAGGGTCAGTCAGTGGCGCTTCAGAGGGTCAGTAAGTGGCGCTTCAGAGGGTCAGTAAGTGGCGCTTCAGAGGGTCAGTAAGTGGCGCTTCAGAGGGTCAGTAAGTGGCGCTTCAGAGGGTCAGTAAGTGGCGCTTCAGAGGGTCAGTAAGT